ATATATATATATCATTTTTTTGTTAGGAATTAGACGGGAAGAGTAGATGACAGTGTTGACGAAACGTCTCGAAGAAGCACTGTTAGCGATATGGAAAACTGGCATCATTGTCACTTTGCTTATGAAGCTGGCAATTTTTTTGACTTTTATTTTCTTTGGAAGCGGTAATAGTAGGAGAAGAAATTTAGTAATTTTTTACTTTTTCTAGTGGTTTTAAATTGGCAATACTTTTAAGTACTGCTAAATGTCAGCTTTTAATTGAAAATACTTTGCACTAGATTTTCATGTACTTTTTGATCAAATTCTTCTCAGTTTCCAATCGCTTGTGGTTTATGTGCGCCTCGGATTGTTATTCAAGTTGAACAATGAAATTTTAACTACCAGTGACTAACATATTAATTTCTGTTTCATATTACAAGACATTTCCAGTTCAAATGTCGTTTTGAATTTTCTTTTGCTATTTTTATTAGAATTTTGAAAGGTTGTTAAAAAAAAATACTCCTCGTAACAAGCACTTAACTAAATAGTTTCTTAAGAAAGTACGCGGTAGCTAGTATGTTTGCTGGATGCCGGAGACGCGGAATGCCGATAAATCGTAGATCTGGAAAATTTAAGTTGCAGTGTCCAGTGGTTTTTTAAGCTGAATGAATAATTGATAGGTGGTGTTCAGAAGTCGTTTCGGCTTAATCATTTGCGCCAGTCGGTTGACGTTGAGTTCGTGTGATTAGTCAGGTGTGGCGTGTGTTGGACACTTCGTTAGTCATTTCACCAATTCAAAAGCCGTTTACCTGGGTTGCACTGGCTAGAGGAAAATAAAGTTGCTGTTTTAGGAAAAAAGAAGATCGAAATATATAAAATTACTCAGATTTTTTTTTTTGCAGTGTACATAAATAAATATCCAATTTTTTGATTGAAATTGTCATATACAAAGCTAAATTTGATTATGCAAAATTAGCAAACTGCACTGACAACTATTTGCTTTCTTATCAGCAATAGTATTGAGTCTTTTCCTTATAATTTTAACTTCGCTGAAAAAAATCTTTTGGGAAAAAAGTATAGTTTTTTTTTGGCAGAAATTTAATTTGAGAAAAAAGAGAATACAAATTTCATTATTTTGTTCTACTGAAGCTGCTCAGGATTTTCCAGATTAAAGCGGTATGCAGTACTTTAGTAGGAATTTTTCTAGTATTTTTTGTGATATTTACTCTTCAATTGTTTGGCCACACGCTGGTGATTAGAAAATAAGTGAAAAATTTACACTAAAGATAATTTTTTACGACAGTCAGTTCGGAGGAGGAAATTTTTTTCGTTTCGCCTTTTGTTTTGTTCTTTGAAACACTTAGAAATTTAATTTTTTCATGATGCTAATGTACTGCTGTCTTGTTATTTGACTAATCGTTTTATTCCTCATTCAGCAGATGTATAGAGGCCGTTTTCTTAAAGCTCTGTTGGCTTTATTCTTGTAGTTTAAAAGCATAGATTCTTATAACCGGATAGCAAAGTATAGCACTCAGTATCAAGAGTAAAATTTGGTTCAGCTAAACTTTATAAGCATAGAAGAAGGAATATTATTTGTAGCCAATATATGCGGGTGCTTTCGGTTTTATCTCTATTTCTGTTATAACTTTCAGTTAGAGTTACACAGTTTGCAGGTCAAAGAAAATATTGTGAACAAGATAATGGTTGCCTTATGGAATGATGATGCTCGACTTGTACTTATTGAAGAAATTCATAAACGACCCGAAATGTGGGATTCGAGACGGGTAACTTAGCAGCTGCTAA